ATCTGAGATGGTGAGATATACCGCTGGGCCAATAATATCTTTGCTACCGCTAAACTATCTAGGAGTATCTCCGAGACTTCAAGTGCACGTTATGCATGAGAGATGTGAGTATTCACAGCGCTCGACAATGCTCGTTTTGTGGTGGAACGGAAGTACCGTTTTACTGCATCACATGTAGTGAGGAAGACTGCACGGAGCAACCATGCACAGATCTCGAGCATACCTGCTGGAATGCACATCTACCTCAGCGAAGAAATGCCGCACAATACCACACTGTAGTCAACCCGCTTTATCAGCTATTTGTTGGCGCAGTCACACACTCCGAGGCCAATTCAGAGAGACAGAATCAAATGCACCATCGGGACGAACAAGCAAGATGGTTCAATATGAAGAGAGACCATACTCTAGATCGGCCGGATCTCTTTGTTTATGATAGATACATCCAGCTGTGTGACCCTTCGAGATCTGGAAATACAGCTACTCGAACACATTATCCTAGTTTTGTATCATTTGTGGGCGATACCTCCGTGGGCAAGTCTACGTTAGTGCGTGCGATGCTGCTCATGGGTATTGTGAAACGCTCTCGACTCGAAGACTCATCGGCAGATGACTATTCCAGTCAACTGACTGCCCTTGCGAATGTTGTTGACAGCCGGTCTCGGGAAGTTCCTGTTACCCGATCAGCTAATATCAATCACCTCACTGATCCAACTACGCTAGGGGTTCATCTCTATCGAGACGATGGAGTGATACCTCGCCAAAACGATGGGGATGTCGAGTCAAAAGATGCAACAAGCTCACAGTTTCCGATACTTTTTGCTGACTGTGAGGGCTTCAAAGCTGGCGAAGCAATGACAAACGCAGAACGGTCTGAGAAAACAGACCTCCTAGAGGTCACGGATAGACGAGGGCGAGATGTTGCAATGCCTCGCAGTCGATCCGCTTCGAGACATAGGGACGCTCTGCAGTTACCTGTCACAGCCAACTGCTACAGCGCACAAGGAAAAGACGGAGTGGATCTCTTCTATGCCCGATTTCTTTACGCCATCAGTGACGTTATTGTTTTTGTGACGAAGGACGACCAGAAGATACAAAGCGAATTGACTCGGGTTCTCGAATGGGCATCGAAAGCTGTTCATAAGTCTGTCAATCATCCGTCACGCAAAACTCTGATCATCGTTCGTAATATGGCGATGTTCCATGATGAAACATTCTACCGCGCGGACAGGTTGAGAGAATTGTATCTTAGTAACCATCCACCGCTATGGAAGGATTCACCGATATTGAAGGAATTTGTCGAAGAGTACAATGAGAAGCGTTACGATGACCAGGTCGAAGATAACGAGAAGCTCTATGACCTTCTTTTCCGAAATATCGTATGCTGCTACATACCAAACAAAGACAAGGTTAAAGGGAAGCCACAAGAACTCTTTGACCAGTACGAGGTTCTTCGGGATGCAATCGAATCTTCTGTAAGGTCGGGCCTCAAGTTGAGAGCGGAGAGTTTTATGCAATACAACGTTCCAAGGCTGTCACATATCCTGAACCAAGCATTCAAACACTTCACTTCCTCTGAGCGGCCGTTCGACTTTTTCCTTGCGGCTCGAAAGGACAACCCGAATCCACAGTCTGTGAGAGAGCATGTCGCAAACTTTCTTCGACATGCCTATGAAAGTCCTTATATCAATGATGAGGTCGAACGGCTTGTGTTTCACGCAATATCAACGTCACTTCTCATATTTTCTCATCGCAACCTAGATGGTAAGTCTGTTGGGGAAACTTCGCGGTGGTAGAGTGTTCTAGGCCTTTCAATTTTCTGGCCCTTGCTAATTTTCGTCTCGATTTATAGCTGCACCACCCGTCGACATATTTGACAGAGAGTTATACGAGATATGCAATCAAGGTGTTGATATGTATGTCAAAGAGTATGAGAAGTGTATGTTTCGATTTGCAGATGGCCAATCATGCACGTCTCGCCCAGCAAAACTACACTATAGACATACCGCGGCAACGGGGACAACTTTTGTGCCAGGGATGTTCGAGCATAGGAAGCATTGGCTTTCATCGAAGAGGGAGTGGATACGATCTGTTCGGCGGAAATTCATTGAGGCATATCAAGAAATTTTCAGGCCAAGGAGCGGATTCGATTCTAACGACAGCCCAGAGGCGCGTCTCATAGAAAAGCGAAAACAAAGTCGGGCCTCGTTCCAAAGAATTTGGAGAGGTATTAAAAGCAACAAAACATGTCTTTCTTGCGTACAAGCTGTTCCAGATCATGTTCTAGGCTGTGGTCACTCTTACTGTCCACGCTGCGTTCAGGAACTCGGAGACTTGTCAGGCAAGTCCGAATGCGCCTGGGATATGTCTTGTTGGCTTTGCTTTGAAGATAGCGGTCAAGAAATCCATACAGTACAATTACGACCCCGATGTGCTGGTACACGAATACTAACTTTGGATGGTGGAGGAGTTCGGGGTATCGTCGAATTAACGGTATTAGATGCCCTCAAAAATACTATTGAACTCGAGTCAATCCCAATCAAAGACATGTTCGATTTGATCGTGGGAACATCAACTGGTACGGCCTTTTCTTGAGTGCTAAGTGTGCGTCGCTGACGGTTGTCCAGGTGGCATCATTGCTCTTGCTCTTGGCATGTCAAAGAAGTCAAACTCCATCCCAGACATGATGAGTTTCTTTAGAAAAGTATCAATAGATACCTTCTCAAAAACCAATGCAGGGTGGCTATCGCAATTCACACCATTTAAGAAATTCGCGACGTACAGTCTCATGTTCTTCAGAATAGTCGATAGTATGTACCCATCGGACGAGCTTGTCAGAGGGGTTAAGACTTTCTTCGGAGACACCAGCCTTTTCGCTCCGGCGTTGAGCCGGTTGCCGCAAGCTACCCGGGTAGCTGTCACTTCTGCAAAAGATATGGGAGATACAGAATGTCTAATCACCAGCTACAATCACCCAGAACCCAATCCAAATGCAATATTCGAGCGAGAAGAAGATACAAAGAAAGACATGAAGATTTGGGAGGCTTCCTTGGCAACCTCGGCAGCTCCCCCATACCTCGCAGCCTTCGAAAAGGAGGAGACTAAGACTACATACGTGGACGGTGCCGTTTACGCAAACTGTCCTGCTCAGGTTGCACTTACCGAAGTGGAAAACTTGTGGCCACACAATGGCGCTCAGCTGGACACTCTACTGTCATTAGGGACTGGTGTTCAAGGCGTAAAAGATCGGAAGATCCCATCAATAGTTAACTTTGGCTTTTTCAGAGCTGTCAGGGGCATGATCCAACGGCAGCTTGACTCTAAGAGTACCTGGGAGACATTTTCCCGACAACATGCCCCCATAAATATCCGGTCCAGGCTTCGGCGATTTGACCCGCCGCTAAAAGGAGATTATGTCGACATCTACGACTGTGCAAGAATTCCCGATCTAGTGGATGCTGCTACGACTTGGATAGAAGGTAGCGGAAAGATGATGATTGAAGAGATGGCTAATATCCTCGTTGCCAATCTGTTTTTCTTCGAGCCCGATAGCGAAGAGATAGTACATGCCGAGACCCATCTCCAAGCGCCTTCCGAAGTATACGAAACCCTTCCAGGATCAATACGATGTCGAGTAGCCTATGACAACCCCGATTTAAAAAAACTTTTGGGCAAGACAGTGCAAGGCTTTTTCTATGCAGAGGTTGATTCCAACGACATTGATGAAGTCACAAGAGTCCAGAATTGGAAGCCAATCCACCCACGGGATACACTACCTATCGACATGACTATCTTTGAACTCGGATACAATGGAAGATCAATCGAGAAGTTTCGACTTCCATACCGCCTCACAGTCAAGAAACCAAGTCACGCGTATCAGACTCTTGGTGTCAAGTTGCGGAGAAGCGATAGAATTATGGCAATAAGTGGATTTCCATGCAAGCTGTCAGACCTGCAGAAGCGTTCAAAGATGAGATGGCTTCAATGAATTCCGAAGATAGTTTATCAGAAAGCTGTTCATTCTATGCTCAGACTTATGTGAGATCTTTTCGGTTTTTTTTTTTAAATTTCTTTTTTTTACAAGTGTGCCGATTTTGTTTCTTCGACTTGTTTAAGCGTTTGTTTCAACCGCTTGACGGCCGAAATTGCGCTGGACGGACTGAGTGAAGTATTCCGCTACGGTCATTGCAGGGCTTTAGGAAGGTGGAGGGTCAGCGCGAGGTCTCCGAGGAAATGGGGGTGGGCTTACTATTTCTTTTGGGGCCCTTGGAGAACGAAATTCCTCCTCCCCTGGTTGAAGTAGGCGATGGAGTATCGAGATGGCGAATTGCCAATATCCTTCGCACGAACCCTGTGAAAGTTGGATTTCAGGCGATCGTCCGACCAGGCCACTGTGTATGATTAGCATGATACATTGGATTGGGGAATGGACCGCATTGCCTTACTTAGCATATCACCGATATTAACGACAATTGGGCCCGTCTTAGCTGGCAGAGGTGTGAATGCATCTCCCATAGCAAAGCTACTGTGAGACTCTCTCCCTGGGCAAATTTCTAGACCATCCTCTCCATCACGCTGAAACAAGAGTGTTAAACACCCAATATCGGTATGGTTACCAGCCCGCCATGTTCCAGCAGCATTTTCGGAAGGAGGATAATGGATGAGGCGAAGCTGGGTGAGGCAGTCTGGTTGTGTTACATCATTCGCTGTTCGGAAGTAATCCTCCGGAAAGCCAAGGGCAATGGCAAAACAGGAGACTAGTCAGATCGTGAGCAGTGGCTCTACATATGATTGGAAGCAGGCAATTGCGTACAAACTTGATTCGATATCATTGCACACTTAGCCATAAAAGCTTCTGTGGTTGCTCGGAAATTGGGAACATCTGCATCACTTGGCCATTCCGAGCTTCGTTGTAGCCATAAAGACTCCTTCTGATCATATGTGCCGGTACTAGGACGGAGTTGTGCCTGAGAATGATGAGCAGCAAGCACTTTCATCTTGGTCTAGTCGCAGCGTACCTTGTACTCCCAGCCATTGTTTGTCTTTGTGTCATGTGGTGTCTTTCCTTTAACTTCAAAAGGGAGCTCGAAGAATTTTTTTGAAATAGCAAACTCGGCCTCAATCTCTTCCACAGTAATGCCATGGTCGACGAGAGTGAAGAAACCAGCGAACTCTGCTGCTTCAACGAGTTGTTTTGTTATTTCTTCTTTACGAGACTCGTAGTCTGTGCCAGTATCAGTGCATGGACGATGCCTTGCTAGCATGTGGGCCGGGGGCTTACCTCTCAGGGAGATAACAGGAACCAATCTGTCAGCCATAGCGATAGTAGTAGCTCAATGTATGCGCTAGTCGTATTGGAGCTTGTGGCGGATGGCTCTCGTTATCGGCTGCTCTCATACGTGGTTATCTCTTTCTAGGCGTTGAGTATGCTCCTGGCAGCGACTTCATCAGCTATAACTCATAACGAAGGAGTCAAAAGAAGCTCGGGTACGGAACCGAAGCCCGGGCTTGGCTTCGGTTACGTTCCTGTGTGCCGTAGGTATCTTAAATGTTTCTGGTATGGTGCTTTCTCATCAGACCAATTGGAAGCCAGCTGATTTCTGCCTCCTAACCTTCTCCTTGTTGTTGGCCAGGTCTCATCTTGCTTATCAGGAAAGATACGTCCAATCTACGCCGGCGTCGGTTATGTTCCTTGTTATCTGGAGCTAGTTCTCCTGGCCCCGCAAAGATCCCCACAGTACCCTTGGCGCCTCCCGATAGCTGAAACGGAGACATTCAGGCGGATCCAAGTAAAGATAACGAAAACAGTCGCCGAAATGTTAAATAACCTTGACAGGATGAACGACGAAGATCCTTCTAGTATCCAGTGCAGAGAACAGTAACTCAGAAGACACCTTAAGATGTCAGATTCAAAGAAGGACAACCCTGGCGCAGCTGCACCCGCCGACATCGACTTTGAAAGGGTGAATTGAGTTCTCTTATTTCCGAACATTATCGCAAACTAACTTGGGACGGAGCAGGGCGATATCATTGACCCCATTGAAGCCGGAGTTGACAAGCAGCAAGCAAGCAAGGACAAGGCGCTGGGATTGCTCGCAACTCACCATGGAGTGTTTGATCCGAACTCAAACGAGGCGAAACGAGTCCTCCGAAAAATTGATATGAGGATTATGCCCATGATCTTTGTTGTTTACATGCTGCAGTTGATGGTAAGACTCTGGCGAAACTATTGTATGCCCACGCTCTGACTGACTAATTGCAACAACAGGACAAGAACAGTCTGTCGTTCGCAGCAATCATGGGTATCAAGACCGAAACTCATCTTACCGCCAGTCAATACTCATGGCTAGGCTCAATCGTTTAGTATGTAAATAGCTCTTCCTAATATTGTTTTGTTGCTAACTTGGCGGACAGCTTTGGCTATTTGGGCGGTGAGATTCCAGCAACCTACTTGATGCAAAGAGTTCCCTTGGCCAAATACCTCGCCGCCATGTGTATGATTTGGGGCTTTGTCGTCGCCATGCACGCAGTCTGTCACGACTTCGGGGGCCTTGCTGCGGTCCGCTTCCTGCTCGGCGCAATCGAGGTGTGCACAGCCCCTGCTGTGATTTATATCACCAGCTCTTTCTATACCAAGTCTGAACAGGTGACGAGAGCTGCGATTTGGTATTCGACATCTGGCTGGGCAAACGTCTTTGGCGGCTTCTTCGCATGGTGCATCTATCAGGCTAAGAGCTTTCGGTGGCAAGGCTTGTTCGTCTTCTATGGAGCTCTCACCTTCTTCGTCGGAGTTGTTCTTTGGTTCTTCCTTGCTGCTTCTCCGACAGAGGCCAAATGGCTTACTGAAGACGAGAAGGTTATTGCATTGGAACGAGTCCGTCAAAACAAGACTGGTACCGAGGTATGGCGATTCAGCTTGCCTCAGCTCAAGGAGGCATTCCTCGATATCCGGTTCTACATGATATTCTTGCTCTTGGTGTCCACCGGTCTTCCCAATGGCGGAATCACAGCTTTCGGTCCAACAATCATTGCTGGCTTCGGGTTTAGCACTGAGCAGTCTACCTTGCTGAACATGGGTTCCGGAGCCGCAACAGTGGCCGGCACATTCCTCGCACTAGCAATTGCCAAATATACCAACCGTACGGTCGCTGGAGCATATACCTTGGTCCTGGCATGTGTAGGTGTTATCATGATGTTCACTATCCCCGCCAGCAATTATGGTGCTCGATATGGAGGATACATCCTGACTCTACAATGTAAGCTATTAATCTTTTTGAGGAGTGACACTGCTAATACTCTTAGTCCCGATCTGCGTGCTGTTTATCATCACATTCATGACAGCTGGTGTTGGAGGCTCAACGAAGAAGTTTGCGTTCAGCGCTGCCTATCAACTTGGATACGCAGTCGGAAACATCATCGGCCCGCAGACGTACAGAGCCAATGACGCGCCAAATTACTATGTAAGCCTCAGCAAATAACCTTCTTTTTAATATCAACAGTGGCTAACAAGGAGAAGACTGCCAAGTACACTATGTTGGCATTCCTAATCTTTACCCTGATTCTCCTTATCACACTCGGCGGGATTCATAAGCTGTGGAACAAGAAGCGAGACAAACAAGAAGCGATCGATGCTCAGAGTAAGCAATTGATAAGCCCAGTTTATCTGACAGAGTCCTAACAATTGCTAGATGGTGTTGTACGAGTGCACGTGGAAAACGAGGAGTTCGCGGACATGACAGACTTCCAGCTGAGCTCTTTCAGGTACCCTCTGTAAATGAGTGGTCGGATCTTATGCAAAAGCTCATTAGGAGCAGAAGGGGAGTCCATAAGCGGATATACTAGAAAGCAAACGAGGGGTTTATTCTTGGTCTTGTTGTACCATCTAAAGTATCATTGAAAGTATGTACAGTAAATACGTGACTTGGTTCGATGTAACAAGACTCTATTCATCGCCCGTTATAAACGTGACCGAACTGTGGACTCATTCTCAATGTTCGTTGAACTTCCAGTTCCCTTCACTGAAGGTAATCTTGTTAGCAAGCGGGAGGTATGGTATATCGGTAGGAGTAACTGACTGATTGCTTACCACGACTGTCGACCTTAGCCACGCATGATTTGACGAACTCGAGGACTAAGGTACTTTGAGAGGTGTCTTCCGTTCCAATAGACAAGACATTGCTGGGAAATTTTTGTTAGAGAGTTGGACTTGATAAGAAATTGAGCTGTCTACCTCAAGTGGTTATGTTTATCAAGAACATTGAAGAGGGGCAGTGTTCCAGCAGGTTTACTGCGCGCTCTATATTCGTTGAAGAAAGTAGTGGCCGCGTCGGTTGCTTCTTTTCTAGAAGGACTTAGTCTTATGTGGTTTTTCCTTACTTTGAATATGAGCTCACGTTTCCCATTTTACAATACCAATGTAGACAGGAATTTTATCCGAATCGCTGGTTTATGATCAGTTTCGAATTTAGAATACTAGCCGTCCAACTACTTACAGAAGAGGCGAGTCGTCTGGTATGCCCCTGAAAAGTCCGAGAGGCGATAGGGGCTGGAGGTCGTTAGCATCTTCTTCCTATTGGATCTTACAAATGAGACTTACACCCCAGACATCTTCCGCGTCAGAACCATAATACTGACGCAAGGTCCTTTGACGGATTGGCCTTGTCCTGTCAAACCAGAAAGGCGTGCTGAAATACATTACACCGGCTACCGGCGGGAAGACAGCTTCCTTAGGTACTCTCTTGGGATCCCCTAACTCACTGGTTAGTAGGTCTCGTTTCACGCCTGGGCAAAAACACCAACCCGCTGCATAGAGATTCATTGCGATATGAGCTCCACCTGATGAGTGTCCAAAGAGGACGACCTTGTCTACCGAGCCATTGCCGTACTTTTCAGCCGCAATATGGTTATAGATCCATTCTCGCGCAAGTTGCATGTCATCTGCACCGCCGGGATATTGCACATGAGGAACAAATTGGTGATTTGCTAGAACAGCAACAATACCGCGCTGTGCAAAGAAGTACCCAATGTTCCCCCAGCACTGAGATGCTTGTCAGAAATCAATGTCGCGGAAGTCACCAGGGGAAAGATGGCCTACCTTCTCGCTCCATCCCTTATCTCCAGAGAAGAAACCGCCTCCATGGACGAACAGCACAACAGGCTTTCCTGCATCGCTAGATGGGGGAACATACACATCAAGGCGATTTCGTTCTGCTGGGCCATATCTCTCATCGCGGATGACTGTTACATCACTTGGGTAGTCTGGATAGAGGGGCTCATACAATGCCCGCCAATTCTAGACATGGTCAGCTCTTGTAAGGATGGACACGAACGTAGCTGGCCTCACTTACCTCCTCGTCACCAAGGTTGAACTTCGTCGTATCCTCTGCTATCTTCGCAAAAACGGCGTCCATCTTGAATGTTCAGGGACTCAATTACACATTGACCAAGGGACCTCGATGAAGCTCGCGTCTTGCAGGAAGCTAGCATTACAGCTCTCTTGCTCGCCTGGAGTGGTTTAGCGCCCACGGGCCGATGCCCTTGCTTAGACCGATGCTTCACGGGAATTGGCATCCGAGCCCCCTGCTAGTGTCTACCTAGCGCTGAGCGACGGATGAGAGATGTGCTAATCAGTAATGCTGGGTACGTAAAACGGCTAAGGTACGGCGATAACACTGGATTTCGGTGTGTTCAATCCAGTAACAGGCCGTGAATTGTCAATTGGTGCCGAAGACAGTTCGGTGCAGCGTATTCTACCCAGGTTTCTGGGGTTCTAGGTGCTGGAGAGCTTGATCCCTGACTCGTAGTCTCGCAGCAAGCAACAGTCGGACCCTTCGCCGGAAACCACACCTCTTGTATTAGGAGGCATGCAGAGACAAGTCGCGAATAGCTATTTTTCACATTTCACGCCGAGGCTCAAAGCGAAGTACGAGCTATGTTGACGAGGTAAGAGAATCACAGCAGTCATATAGCTATTTAAGATTGCTAATTGGCACCCAGGTCAGAGGTCCAGCAACATGCCTCCAGAAAGAGCTGTTGGGTGGTCATTAATGGTAATGTATATGACCTAACAGACTTCATTGACGCTCATCCCGGCGGAGCAAATATCATACTGAAATATGCTGGACGAGATGCCACTGAAGCGTTTGAGCCTGTTCACCCGAGTGATACGCTTGAAAAACACCTCAAGCCCAAGTATGTAAAAACTTTCGACAAGCGATAATACAATATTGATGCGTGCTGTAAAAGTCAAAAACTAGGGCCTGTGAGAGGCACTGTACCCGCGCCGGAGATCACCAATGTTACTACAGCGGCATCACACGATGCTGTTGCAGTTGCACAGCCGAGACCAAAGAAGGTTCGCCTGTCTTCTATCATCAGTATACAGGGTTTTGAAGTGGCTGCATCGAAAATTTTGAGCAAACGGTCGTTTGCATGTAAGTGTATATATGATATCTTCACCGCGGAGCATATTTTAACAACTGCACCTAGTTTTCAAAACAGGGGCAGAAGATGAGGTTACCGCAAATTGGAATCGAAGTAGCTGGAAACAAATACGCTTTCGCCCGCGAGTTTTAAGACCTATTGACGGAATAGATATATCAACAACGCTCCTCGGTAGCAAGTTTTCAGCACCGTTCCTCATCTGCCCAGCTGGAGGAGGAAAGCTAGCCAACCGGACTGGGGAAGTACTCCTCACGAAAGCTGCGGGCAAACATGACATTCTGCACTGGGTATGTAACAATGCCGGATGCACGCAGAGCGAGATAGTAGATGCTAGATTACCAGGGCAGTCACTTTACTGGCAAATATACGCCATGAGCGATCTGGCTGTGACGGAAAAGGAGATCAAGACAGCCGTGCAAAGGGGCTTCAAAGGCTTTGCACTCACTGTGGATGCGATCCGTGCTGGAAAGCGAGAGAGGGATATGCGGACAAGCATAGAGGAAGAGGAGCAAGTAAGTAACCACCTTTTTCGATCACTGTCCATTTGTATTGACTAATGCATGGTAGGATTTGGACGATTCAGACGAAGAAGAGGAGGATGAAAGCTTCACCCGCGGCCCAACAGTGAAGAGGGCGTAAGTAAATTTGGAGCCGCTTCAACGCCAAGTCTTACATACCAACAGTGCGGTTTACGAGAAGTTCGACTGGGTATCATCGATCAAATGGCTGCGAAGTCTCACAAATCTTCCCATTGCTATCAAAGGCATACAGTGTTGGGAAGATGCCGCCTTATGCATGAGATACGGAGCACATCCATGGCTCTCTAATCACGGCGCACGACAGCTTGATGGTGCCCCCTCGGCAGTGGACACGCTGATTGAAATTCGACAAAACTGCCCCGAGGTTTTGAGCAAGTGCGAGGTCATCGTTGATGGAGGCGTAACGCGAGGCACCGATATCGTGAAAGCGCTTGCACTCGGTGCAAAAGGGGTAGGGCTTGGGCGAGCATTCCTGTTTTCTCTGGTCTTTGGCGAGGCAGGGGTGAGCAAAGCGATTCGGATTCTGAAGCACGAAATCGAGACAACGATGGCTTTGCTTGGGGTTACCTCCATTGACCAGCTAAATGCGTCCTATGTAAGTCCGATGTCCTATCTGTTCGATGTGGGATCTGATTCTAATGGGGTGATAGGTTGACTATTCCCGGATACTTAATGCCTCTGTAGAAACTCGGGCGCGTCTGTAAGTGTGCTAGGGGAATTTAGAGCACTGCTTCCTTGCCAACGACCGCAGTCTCGGGAGTACAGCGACAGGTTCAATAGCTCAGATAGATAACTCGGAGATACGAAGCATTCTGTCCTTCATTGTAGATTCTAAGATTCTCCTCCAAATAGACAAGCTTACCGTTCTTCTGGGGAATCCTTTGGAGGTCTGGGCCACAGGGCTAAGTCGACACGGTTGCTGCCAATCAGCAGTGTCTAATTATGACTCGGACGCCAGTAATTGCTGCGTGGACTTACAGTCTAAGATAACGAGAGGACTCTCGGGTAGAGCACCGACTTCGGATGGCGCTCTGTGGGAGCCGGTCCGCGCACTAAATCCTATAGATTTAATTCTTATCTGTTCTGATAGGAGCTACTCAGCGTCTCCGAAGGATGATGTCCTCCAATAAAAGCTGTCGAATACGCTACAGGCTTTAGACTCACTTGCTTGACTCGGTGAAAGGGTCCTCAGGAGCTATCTCCGTCTACTATTACAGCGCTAGCTTTGTCCGCCACGACAGCATCTTAGCTAGAACCCTTAAAAGTTCCCATCGACGTCACATAAACGAATGAAAACCATACAAGCCCGCTCTGTAGATAGCTATAAACAAGAGAATCTCGGCCTTCTAATCGAAGAGGTAAATTACAGCATCACCAGGGAGAGCTCAGACTGTTTCAGCGATGGAAGACCCGACAAAGACAGCGCCACCCCCGCTACCCTCGGCGCCAGCCGTGGAGCTGTCGCCGACATTGACACTTCAACCCCCGCTGTCACGCCGAGGTCGTGGCCCTGGCATCGTCATTGTCGTGTCGGACGAAGCTGATATCAAGAATAACACGAATCCCACAAAGACTCTGGATCCCGTACCAATCCAGAAATGGGCCGAGGAGGGATACGTTGTTGCTCAACTGAAGAAGCCAAGCGCCAATGCTAGCAGCTGGAAGTTTGAAGAGGACCTCAAGTCGGCCATTGATGCGCTGAAGAGCCACGAAACATGCACAGAGAAGTCGAAGTTCGCAGCAGTCGGTGCGTACATGACGTCGGATCTCCCAAATTCTTCAGCTCATTTCACTAATGCCAATTCAAAGTGTACTCCTCGGAAGGCATCACCGACCTAGGTGCAGCGTTAGACTCCGCCACTGAGATCGTGGCCGTCGTGTCTTTCGGCACTCTACCACAGCCATGCAAGGCGCCCAAGCTATCACACATAATCGAGAAGGGACTTCCGAAATCCACCAGCAATGGCGATGTTATTTACAGATACGACCTCAAGTCGCCGCTGTTCGTTTTGCCGACACATGCTCACTTCGCGCCGGCGCCCGCCTCAGTCGCCCACAGCCGATCACTCGAGTTCATCAAGAGGCGACTGGATGGCCCTTGGTTCGACCTTGAAGCAATTTGGGACGAGCACACGAGCTTCGAATTCAGCAATCGCTCAGTAGAACATACCATGGCAACAATGGTCCAAGAACCCTATGTCAATCACATCCCCACCATGACCGGTGGAATTGGTCGCGAGAAGCTCTCGGCATTCTACGCCCATCATTTCATTTTCAACAACCCGGACGATGCGAACCTAGAGCTGGTCAGCCGCACAGTGGGCATTGACCGCATCGTCGACGAGTTCCTATTCTGCATGACGCATGATAAGGAGGTAGACTGGCTGTAAGTAATTGCCTTTGCGCATTCACTATCCTCCGATCGTGGAGTTGATCATATTTGCTTCTAGAATTCCCGGCCTACCACCTACAGGCAAGTACGTGCGCATCCCGTTCACAGCAGTGGTCAACATTAGAGGCGACAGACTATATCACGAGCATATCAGCTGGGACCAATTGACGGTGTTGTTTCAGCTCGGGCTTATGCCCGAGTACCTCCCCTTCCCTTCGAGCGATGGGAAGAAGCTGGAATACCGCGTCCCAGGTGCGGGGGTCGAGTGCGCCGAGAAGCTGGAAGATGAAAACGCGGCGCCGTCGAACGAGATGTTCAAGTTTGCAGTGAGAGAAGCTTCATCATAGCGTTATACGAGGATTCAAATTCAAGCGCAACACTGCGTTATGACAATTACAGCATAACAATTTTTCGTGCATGCCGTTGCAATCTGAACTGACGCCAAGGGCGATTTGTTTACTTTAGGTCATTTGGGATGTCCACTACGAAATACGAGCTCCAGATATTTGACCACCACCAATCAGTGATAATCCATTAGAAAAGCAGTGCTAACAAAGTGGCAGCGGACTGTCCAATGCTCGACTGTCATACGCAGCTCCCTTGCCCCAGGCCGGCCTGTCATTATGGCGGGCGTTATCAGCGTAGCACGGGCGGTGCAGGCTCGGTGCTCGGTCCGAGCACCCATTCCGGTCGCACTGGATTGTGAGGGGTAGCAAGTATCGAGGGCAGTATCGAAGGCAACGCGGATAAGACACGTAGTGTAAGAGACGCGCTCCAGGCCCAGAGATCGTGCGTATGGGGCCGCAATCGAAGGACCCTTCTATTGTGTGCTCCGGCGTTTCCGTAATCAAAAGAGCTTAGAATTCTACACTTCATCCCCAAGCCGTACATTATCAAGGCATCTTCGCACCACTCGAGATGTGACTTGGGCTACCTCAGGTCACGCCGAGAATCACGGGTATCTTTGGAAGATAGTCGCGATAATTTGAGCTCTGTCAAGCTTGCTTACATCTCGAGAGACCAGGCCAGGGATAGTCATTCCACGCCCTGAATCATATCTCAAGTTGCACTAAAGTTCACGATGCCTTTCTTCATGGATGTTGAGACGCAACAACTGTGACAGGCCTGTGGGTGTCAATTGACCTCCGGAGCGCAGCAAGTGTTCCCTTACTAGGCATCGCTAAGCTCCCAGGGAGAAAGTTCCCAAAGATGGAGCCGCGGGTTATACAAATCTACATATCCAAGACATGAAAACTTATACTATCTCCGTGAATTAGAGTATTCGATTGAAGTGCTCTTGTGTTTATTGAGCTATCTGTATGTCATGCTGGCCGGACAGGTCCCACTTGGAGCATAGAATCTGGCTTATCTCCATTAATCTCGCCCTAAAACATGCTCTTGGACGCTAAAAGTGCTGGGCGAGTGTCGTGAAGCCAGGGTCCGCTTATCAGCAATTGTAGGGGTTGTGGAACCCCCCCGAAAAGTCCGCTTCCGGCCCACCTCCGCACTACTCGTGATCTTCTTTCAACGACATCTCGGACGGTTCACGTGCTTCTAGGTGCAATTTGGGGGCTCTTTCACTCTCTTTGCGCCAGGGAAGTGAGCAAGCGTGGCTGGCAATCCCTCGATGAGAGGAGCCGAAGGCTTTTGAGTGATTTCTAGCCATGCCGCGGCCAAAAGTGCGGCCGGAGGACCGGCAACGGTCTTCCAAGGCATGTGTTGCCTGCAAGGCTTCTAAGATCCGCTGCGACTCGGAGTTACCATGTGCCGCCTGTATCAGACGAGATCGCGGCTCATTGTGTGTTTATCCGCCTCCGGAAAGTCGATCCAACATGCGGCGCAACCGTAGGACTGGCGAGGCTCGGGGGCCAGAGTCGGTGCGAACAGCCAGCTTGTCAGGAGACGTATTATCGGTGTCTGCGATCGCTGGCTCAACACCCCGGTCGTCTGCTGCCGCGAGAGCAAGTATTTCAGAAGAAGTCCCTGTCTCGCCAACTTCTGCATCAAGGCCGCCGTCCCAATCGCCAGACACCACGAGTGACAGCTCAAGTCGACAGCGGCCGGGGCCAAGACTGATGATAAGCTCCATTGGCGAAAAAGGTGCCTCTTCTTACGCTGAATCTACGCATTTGATCATATGCTTACATCACTCGTAGTCTATATTGGGGAGACAGCATCCTTATCTTTCGTCCACTTCCTTCGCCGGGCTCTGAAACCGTATGTTGGTTCCATGCCTTTCACAGATGGCAACCAGCAAAATGTGATGCTTGAAGCGAGCACAGAGGATGTTCGAGGCGTAGACCTGGAGCTAAGCCCAGAGCATAAGGATACTCTCATTGAATCCTACTCAGAAGTGGTGCGTCTGCAAACTCAACAGCCATATATGGTTTGGCTGACAATTTTCCAGACCAGTGGCATTCTTGACCTATTCACCATTTCAGAATTGGATATGCTAATGGCAGATGATTCTGATTTACCACTCAATAGACACCATGTCGCCGCACTTGACATGATCTTGGCCATCGGGGCGCAAACCTCAATTCCGGCAGATACCAAAACTGCGGCCGCCTTCTTCGCCCGTGCACAACGGGTTGCATTTGAGGATATGTTGGCTCACCCTAGTCTTGGGATGGTCCGCCTGTTTGTGCTCCTGGCATTCTATATGCTTGGAGCCTGTCAGCGTAATGCAGCATCAATGTACCTCGGAGTTGCTGCCAAAGCTGCCGTCATCTTGGGTTTGCATCAGCCAGGCCACTACAAAAATCTTCAGCCGGAGGAACATAGCGCGAGGTGAACAGCTTCCCTCTCACATTATATATGGGAATTTGAGTGATTATTAACCAACTTTCTCAGGTTACGCGTCTGGAACAGTCTCCGAGTCATGGAAACAATCACTACATTTCTACTGGGACGTCCCAGCAGTCTCCCTGCCTCACGTCGCGATATGTCTAACCACTTCGACAACAAAGGGTCGCAAGATGCTGAATTCTACCCAATTGCATTCAACTCCATTGTCGAGGCCTGTGCTCTGCTCGACGCCACTGTACAAAAGCTGAGCCGTGGCCGTCGAATGGATGTTACCACAGCGGAAGGAATATTAGAACAGCTCCGGCGATGGAGCCAGAACCTGTCCCCACAGCTCCGTCAATTTGCGTTTACTGACGCATCTACTCTGACCTCTGCTGATAGGCAGCGACTCATAGCCAACGTCCACGTGTCTTGCGTGTATTACTTCGCTGTCATGGTCCTCACCCGCCAATTTCTCATTTCTCACATGATGGGGAAGCTCCGCCGTCGAGCATCCCAAAAGCCCGGCACTCTAGCAAACGAGGAGGCTGAGAAAGTATCTAGCTTGGCTGAGGTATGCGTAAGCTCTGCATCATACATAGCGGATATATGCCGAAAGATGCAAGTCGGCGGCTTTGCGTTCGGAAACTTATGCTATGTCAAGTGAGTCTTTCTCTCGCAACTTACAGGTCTCAAGCGCCACGTGTGATCGCGATTTCCGTCTAATCAGTGTAATAGGGCATGGGTCTTCGGTGCTGGTCTGGTCCTCGGCTTCACTCTGTTTGCAGGCGAGCCCAGAGGAGATTTGCAAGATGCGTTTATGGGCGCCCGTGCTGTCTTGCAGCAAATTGGTCGCTTCAGCCCGCAAGCGAAACTATATTACGAGATCCTGTCCGAGTTTTCCGACGCAATATCTCACTATCGAATGCGTATGTCCCGCCAAACTCGTCGTGCTGTGGATCAGTATATCGATCAGATCCTCGTCATCGATTCAGCGGGTAATAGCACAAGCCAGAAGCGTGAAGCACCTTCAGGTGACGGCAGCCAGCCCTTACTTTATCCCAGCCCGTCAGGGTCAAAGGACGACAACGATGCTCACCATGCCCACCAGGACAGCATGGCAGTAGATTCGATGTTGGAGAATACTGGTAATATGGATCTTGGTCATGGTCATTCTGACGAGATTGACCTCATGGGCGAATTTCAGGGGTGGGACGACATGGCATTACAGCTTTCCGAGAATTTCTCCTTCACTTATGAGCCCTTTGAAGGCTTCTTCGTGTGATACAGAAATTGTGATGCTTTAAGGCTTTATTATTTCTGGAGGCTAAATTTCTAGCGCCTCGGTCTTCACAAAGTTCAGCGCTATGATCCTAGCCATTCGACAGAGAGGTCTAGCTAAGGGTGCAACCTGTATTGTTGAATAGTCGTGGCTCATGCTTTACTTGGAAGCTTTTGCCAACGCGCCCACTCTTCGATCGGCGTCAGTTTCACCGGTAGCTCCTTCAACACCGGAGCCATGTCGACCTTGAAAGGATCTGATGGATGGTCATTATACCACCTGTATGCTCGCCGCATTTGATCAACCACCACATCTCTGTCGAGTCCGGACCGGGTGCTCATCGCGTCTCCAATTCCGTCACAGAACTCGTCCACCTCCTTGGACTCATACTGCATTGGGCGATTCCATGCACGTGCAAGTTTCTCCGTTAGTTGCGCGAGACGTACGGTCTCCGGTCCACCAACAGGAATATCTCGTCCTGCGAGCTCGGGTCCGCGCTCCATTGCTGCGATCATAAGCTGGGCGACGTCGTGATGACAGATCCACGAAACCTCGAGGTCTTCTTTGTGGCAATACACGATAGTATTGCGCTCCACGATAGGTGGAAGCGCCCAGCCTTCGAGCAGATTGTCTATAAAGACAACAGGCTCGATGCTCACTACGGGCAAGCCCAAGTCCCGTAAAACACGACGCATCTCGCGTCGGTGATCCTGAGCCTCAATGTTCTGAGGGACCTTCGGTACGGGCATACTTGTATTAAAGATCAAAAGCTTGAGGGTGGGCGTGCGCTTTGCAGCCTCGCCAACGTTCCTGGCTGCTGCGATGACCGGCTCGGCCTTTTGGAAGGACGTGGAAGGCAGATTAAGGAAGATGACTTCTACTCCAGAGAGCGCAAGGTCGAGAGCCTTCGCATCGGCAAAGTCTGCAGCAGCCGTTTCAACCGGGTTTCCATCTATCTCTATCGGTTTAGGACTGCGGCTGATGGCAACAGGTTGGTGGCCAGCGTGGACAAGGGCAGCCACCTGTGCTCGCCCTTGAACGCCGGACGCTCCAAATACAGCAACTCTCATGGTTCTTTGATATGTAATTATAATAGAAGTATAGTTTAGAGATTAGGGAGATAGTAAGTGTCAAGCATTTTGGGTTGATCAATTAAAATGGGCATAATGAACTCAGGCTTGAAGGCTATGGTTTCCCCAGCTTTTAGCATTGTGGAGAAGTCGGGGTCGGGAGACATTTTCCGGTAGCCATTAAACTACAAAAATGATGCTAGAGTAGAACATTCTCTAGGAAGCTATTATCCTTATCAAGTGTACGATCTATTAAAATTTTTTTTTCCCTTTTAGCTAGATCAGCTATGATGTTCCCGAGTGTCATGACTAGCTAGGGTCAGCCTGAAGGAGGTTTTGACTGACCTTGTTACCAGCCTTGCGATACATGACGCTAAGAGTCTGACGCGTGCCCGTCGGTGGGAATAGTATCGTACACCCTCAGTGTTCCAGTAGACAAAGAAGAATACCGTTGAATCTGCGGCTTTTTATACTTTATGGTATTTACAATGCTTCTGTTAAGATGCTTTGCGGTGACTCTGTCGTACCCGACCTACCTCTCAAGCCTTCCAATCAAGATCATGGCTTTCCTTTTGTGTCGCAATGGGTAAAGCTAACAAATGTGTGACGTTTTGGAAAAGGCGTTAAGCGTTTGCATATTCCCCGAAAATTATCGTCTTGAACACCTGGGCGACACCGAGCTTCAACCCTTAAAAAACAATGACTTAAGGTAGGCGAACAACATCACCTAGTACACCTGCAAGGCACAACTACCATGGCTATTCGTTGAGATACTTCGATTAATTTTGTCACCAGTTCATTTAAAGTGAGAACCCCTGAGACTAGATCCGGCAGCTCGGATTAAAAGTTCAAATTGGGATTGATATTTTGGAGTGTTGTCGGTTCGGAGCCAAAAAGAGAATCGCAACACTGCAACCTTTCATCCAGCTTTAGATAAGGGGCACGATAAACCGTCTTGCGGAGTGTTTAGGCGGCTAGATAACAGACACTAAGAATGTGTCCAGTTAATTTAGAAGGACAAGGCTAAATATTACGTAGTGTCGAACTATGTTAGATCCTCACTTTACAACTACTACATGTCGCTAGAGCAGATAAAAGGTCACACGAAGGTTGTGTCTAAGTCTTTAATCTTGTGACTTTAAAGTGCTTGAAACACTGGATGCTGCAGTGCCATTCAGAACATGTGACAGGCGGTGGAAAGGGGGGTTGCGCACGTCTAGTTGCAAGGGTTACAACTGGGATCAAATCGGCCCGTTGAGGTCCTCTGGATCTTGCTCTTGTTGACTCCGAATCTTTTTCTCCCTTGTCTTTGACTAAGAGCAAGTAAGTTGAGGAGACCAAATGCGAATTCCCCGAGGTACCTGAAAAGTGGAATCAGAGCTCTTTGGCACAATTGGGCAGCTCGGATCGCCTTGCGGCTGAAAGACCGCACCTTCCTACTAAAAGTTTAAGTTAAACGAGTGGCCACTAACCCTGGCATGCCTAAATTGTAAAAAAAAAAAAGGATTCAATAGCGTCGGGACTCTGCAGCACTGCCAATATTTAGATGCCGCGGCCCCAGATGCTGATGCATCACGCCTGCAGGATCGTTAGTTCAACGGCGGCAGCTCATCTTGCGTAACGTGAGATGTAGCAACATGTCACTACAAATGCCGGAAAGGGGTAACGAAATCGGGCGGGGATTCGCTTCGTACTGTCGCAGCTTGAGCTCCAAATTTTGTTTTTCATGGTTACGAAGTGCTGAAGGATCACTTGCAACTCGTCAGAAGGTCAAAACAGCCCTTTCCTCGTGGTTTGTATTCCCATTATACTGAAACTACTTGCCTTTTTTTACCAGCTCAGAAACGGTGATGCCACCACTTCAAAGGCGACCTTGACATACATTTGGACCTGATGATCCGGCCTCCTCCGATCTTATCCTGCAACGCCTGCAACGTTGCCGTGCCTCCCGCCCTCCCCACCATCCCCCACCAATACTGGCCATGGTCTCGCTGCAACGCTGGGATTGGACCTTCCCCCCTGGTACTTACGCCCGTCAGCTGCCTACCAAATATAACTGTAAAGTCGGCAGACATAACAATAGAACATAGTCAGCATAACGCCATACGCGCACTAGAGGTCAACAGGTGCAGTATGGCCTGTTGAATGTGATTCATGTCCGCATGTAGGATTTTCGTTGGGTGGTATTGGTTGGACAGTTGCAACCGCTAGGAGAGGACTTGAATGAGATAGGAGATGACTTCGAGCTTCAGCTTTCTAGTTACTAGCTACCATTTGTTCAAACTTCAGGGCTGTGCCTCTTCCTAAGTACGCCCCATTAGACACTAGACATACTCTAGAATGCCTCAAGACAACGATTCGGGAACGGGCGAGGAAGTAATGCAACTCAAGTGGCTCATGCAGGAAAGTCTCACTACATCAATAGCGCGTGACAATATGTATTTCCATGTCTAGGCAACATCGTCTCCGCGAAGGGCAAGAGGCAGAATTCTATAGCGTGATGAGACAACAGTATAAAAAGGTCTCCTTCGGAGCGTAAACCACTCTCCAATCTATCTTCCAAGAGCCTTGTTCAGTTCCTATTTACTCATAATGTCTTTAATGTCCTTGAAAAGCTTGCTCCTTGGCTCGTTGCTGTCGAGTTTTGTCGTTCAAGCTGTTGCGACCCCGGTCATTGCTGCTAGAGGTCAATATGCCAAAGATGCCTTACGCAAGCGAGCCAACCTGAACGTCAAACGGACAACTACTACTGACACTACAACTATTGATTGGGTACCCATTGACTCTCAGGGGAAAATTGCAACTCCTCCTCCCAACATCGTATCTGTTGCAGCAACAAATGCCTCCAAGCCAATATCGGAGCTGCAACAGCCAGGTGCAGAGGTCGGCCCACCAGGAACTGTTCCTATCCCCCAAGTTGACCCCGACTATCTCGCAAATGTTGCTGAGAAGGGGCTCCCGGAAATACGATCTGCCAAGGCGAAGAGACAGTATGCCGGCAATCATTGGTATGTGACGTCAAATCAGAACGTAGCCAATTGGGGTGGCAAGGCAACCTACAGCGTTTATAAGGCGTTTGTCAATAACGGCGGCGACTTCTCTCTGCTGCAAACTGCTGTCGTCAAGTCAAACACCAACGGTGGACAAACCTTGGAAGCGGGATGGATAAACTACCCCAATCAGGTTTCTCAGCCCCATTTGTTCACGTACTATACAACAAACGGCTACTCCTCGCAGGGTGACAACGTTGGAGGCTGGAACCAAGACGTTGCTGGGTGGGTCCAATATGATAGCGAGATCTTTCCGGGAACTGTCTTCTCGCCAAACAGCGTTGACGGCGGTGCCCAATACGAGATTGAAATCCAATATCTTCTCTATCAAGGCAACTGGTGGCTTTGGGTTCTTGACCGCTGGATTGGATACTATCCCGCCAGTCTGTTTAGCAATGGTATTTCTGGAGTTACTCTGGCTACCGGATCTGATATGATCTTCTACTATGGAGAGATCTATCAGAGCGAGGGGCCACTCACTACTACTGATATGGGCAGTGGAGAGTTCGGAACCACAGGCTTTGGCCACTCAGCATACATCCACAATATGGTTTATACTGATACTACCGGGAGCACATACTATGATTATACGGCAAGCTTCGGTGACTCTGACTCCGCCAGATATAACCATCAAAACGTTGCCTCAAGCGGCACCAATTGGGGAAGCTATGTCTATCTTGGCGGCCCTGGAGCGGGTGGGGTCGTGGGTGGATAATCGCCCGCGTGGGAATTCATCCAGGGAACTAAACCCAATTTCACTTCAACAACAAGGATTTTGCACAGGCGAGATAGTCACAGCGCACTATTTACAGTCATAGTAAATATCTACCTCGACAATACATCTCCTTTTTGCTTTTCGTTTTCGCATTTTGATCTTCCAGCTGCTGTGGTGGGAGATATAACCTTCGCAACAGATGAGAAGCCTGTCAGCTAGGTTTGCAACGCATAAAATATGTCAAATAGAAGCAGTCAGCCGCTTTGTCCAGCGCTTCTCACAAATAAGGACTTTCCACTTTGCTTTAACTGTTTTCAATATGGAGACCCACCTTGGTTTTCTTAGATGGGCCTTTGACCCTCCTCCATTCCATAATAAAAGCTAGCATGCGAAGATAAGCGATAACCTTGTTGTTTGCAATACTCTTTGCTAGACTACACAGCTGTCATAACCAGCCCGAGCATGGGTATGGTGGGCGATAGGGAGCACTGTTGCAAAACCCCCCGGTCGTTTCGTTTTAGGTTTAGGGCTTTATACTCTTAGTCACCTGGATACTTCAGGTCGCAATCAAAGATGTTCCGAGGACTAGCAGCGGGTTCGCGCGGTGGCCTATGTTTGTATCGCCTGATGCTTACTTGTCCATATGCCTTGTATTAGGTAGACGATGGAAATTTTGAGACTGAAGGAAATGCACATTGTGAATCTCTGCACGAGATGGAAGGCAGCGTGCCTCCAGTTACAAATAAAGAGGGACAGGTGGCAAACAGAGAATATAGATATATAGCCATAACGCCAACAATCATGATCAATCTTTCCACATGGGGCTCGAATAATATGCTGAGAAAAACAAACCTGGCTCATTCATCCTGGCTGCATTCGTCCGCTTTGGAACGTCAGAGTCTTACTGTCTGAAGATAAAACGCTGAGGGGTAAATAACGTGGCTGTGTGGTGGTGTCTGCCAATGAAATGGTGTAGTACACTGAGACTTGGAGTGGACGTGCGCGCGAAATACGTGGGCTCGTCCAGCTTTGTTTGTGAAGACTTTCAGATCAATGTCAAGCTCCTCGTTTGATCAGTGGAAATGCCTGTCTTCAATGAGTACAGCTACAAGCCTCTCTCCGAAGAAAACGTGATTAGGCTGGTCGCCCTAGATGCGGCCGAAGACGAAACAGCCTCGCTTACTTGCCGGATTATTGAACAGCGGGCTTCGACACAGCGTGTGGACTATACAGCTGTTTCATACGTGTGGGGAAAGCACGAGTTCTCACGGACAATAGAAATCAGATGCGATGAGGATGTGAAATATCTGAAAATCACGCCGAACCTTGATGCTCTGCTGAAGGCCTTCCGAGAAAAGGAAAACCCCCGATATTTCTGGATTGATGCGATCTGCTTGAATCAGAACGACAGTCTAGAAAAGGCTCAACAAATTCCTCTGATGGGAAACATCTATAAGGAGGCTGTGGCTGTTGACATATGGCTTGGGCCCGAAGATCAAATGACAACGGGGCTTTTTAAATTCTTTCGAAAACTTAGCCGCGTCCCAGACGTGACGAAATGGAAAACACAATGGGACATGGCAGGACGAATCACCTTTCTCATGAAGAAATATTTCAGATATGGATCTTGGGAAGCAATGAAGGCTATAAATGAGTTCTTTCAGCGCCCGTGGTTCTCACGCCGCTGGATCATCCAAGAGGCGTGCCTTGCCAGACATGCTACTGTTCATGGTGGCAGCCGGCGATCCCTCCCTCTGTCGTTGCTCAGTCTGGCCGCCACGCGTTTTCAACGTATGGACATGTCAGATTACGCGATCAAAGTGGCGGCAAATCTAGGATGCCAGACAACCGGGCTCAGCATGTTAGAGCTTCTTTGGCATTTTCATGAAGCTGCGTGTCTTGAGCCGAAAGATCGTATCGCCGCTTTTCTTAGCCTGGGACTGCAAGGGCAGCAGCTTCGACTGGACTATACGAAGCATTGGACCGAGCTGTATAAGGACTTTGCCTCTTTCACCTACAGTCGGGGTCATAATGATAGCAACTTGCAACTGCTACTTCAATTATTCGAGTTTGGTTCTGTTTCAAAGCCGGACGATAACACGTATCCTTCCTGGGTTCCTGACTGGTCGCAGTCTCGGCGTCGAAGACTTCCTTACGATTCTCGCATTCATAATGTGGACACATACGAAGTGTACCCTAAGTCTCCAGGGTATTCTGACAAAGCGATCGTGGCATTTCGTGATGGATCGTTGCAAATCGACTGGGGTATGTCGGGTGCTGGTCCACGAAGTCATCGGGTAGCCTTCACGGCAACGTTCGACACAGTTCAGCACACTGAAGACTGTAAGACAAGACAAGCAATCGATATCGTCGAGGGGCTATTTCCATCTATGCCGGATGCAAGATTGGGTATAGTGGCACTTGCGGTTTTGCTCAAGACAGTATCAGAGTTCCGCCACCCGATCGCAGAACAAGAGAAGACCAGCAGATCTCTTGGCAGATTCGAAAGAAATTTACGTAAATTTCATCAGGATTTATATGATCAACAGTTGCTAACATGGCTGCGAACAATACAATCTGTTTTGCAGGATTTTTGCTTGGTAACGCTAGAAGCGTTTGAACGGAACGGATTGAGTGACTCTCGAGGTTACGGCATCGGCCCAGCGGCGATGCGACGAGACGATGTCCTTATACCGCTCTGGAGCCTGGAGATTGGGTCGCCTTGGTCTAGGTCTCATATTGATACGTCAGGGACGAGCATCCAACTATGTACGATGCTCGCCGTAAGACGCAACGGAGGTCAGCTCAGCGCCATTGCCGGCGGAGATACAAGAATCCCTGTAGGTAAAATCATTTGCCCGGTAATCTGCATTACTTTAGATAGAGCAGTTAGTGAGTGTCTCTCTGATGCTAGACAAGGCGGTGGAACAGACTTGGGGGAGTGGTCCTCAATGCGAGTTATTTAATCCAGGGCGAAATGGGGGGTCCTCGCCTGCTTTGAGACGATTCTGTCAAATATATATAAGTATGATAAAGTCGTTAGGTATAATTCGACTACTAACTTAACCATTAGTAGCTTACTTAGCTAGACAAAAAGAAGAAGGAAGAAGGGGAAGGTCCCAAAGATAAGGAAGAAGAGAATAAGGATAATTAAGATACTAGCTACGTCAAACCTCACCAACATAATAACATGTCAAGTTGCTTAGTGAAATGGAATCGAACTCTGCTAGTCCACCGCGAACCCGCTAATATAACAGCGGTCCTTTGTGAAACAAAATACCAAGAAATAACAAGAAATGTAGGCTAGAGTACATTAGGCAATATACCTTGGGGCAACGCATTGATAGAGCTAACTGAATTTGGCACTTTCATTATGAATTTTGGGATTTTGCAACAGTGACCCCTATAGCCTGCCATACATGGGGCAAGCGTTAGCCAATCGGAGATTCCTACGGTGACCGAGATACCCGATCTCGAGCCACCTGGCAAAGCAATCTCGGGAATAGCTCGACCACCTCCATCTAGCTTTCGTCACCTCCATCACGGTACGTGGCGAACATCATTATCTCAGGTCTTTGTCTGGTGCGCATGTGATTGCGTGCAGTATTCGATCATCGGCGTCAGGTTTATCGGAAAGCAGCAAATTTTCTGCAAGTAGAGACGGAAATGACCATTTCGACCCCACCACAGAATGCCCGTCTCCGAATGTCCTGCGATGGCTGCTCCGAGGCGAAGGTGAAATGCGACAAGAAGCATCCGTCGTGCGACCGATGCGTCAATTATCATCGGAAATGTACATACGGTATATCACGGAGGCACGGCAAACAGTCATGGCAAAAGAAGCTAGCGTCAGACCGGGCAAAGGTCCTGGGAACTGGACCCAGACCCCCTGATCAGGTACCATTTGAATCAATATCACTCCCCGGAGGACTGAACGGCACGCCTTCACCGTTGGCTGGACAAACATGGACTCAGCCCACTTATCCCGTGATTGCACTAGATTCTTCGGCACAGTCCTCGTTCGATCAGTCCCAGGATCTTTTCAGGTTCGATGATTTCCTTGAACCGATGCAGTTCTGGCCACACGTTGAGCTTCCATCGAGCTTCATTTTCCATAATTTGGAGAGCTCATCCTTGCAACCCGATATTAATGCTCAAGCACCTATCTCTCCAGACATCCATACACATCAACAAAGCAACCATGAGCCGCAAGCTTTTGCTTCCTTTTCTAGTGATACCGTTACTGGCTCTCCGAGGCACCTTTCGCGCTCCCGTTACCAGCAGGCATACACTAACAGAATTCATGACTGTGAAGCGCGTGCCATAGCAGTCCTTCGATCACTACACCATCATTACTCACGTCCACCGCACAGCAATCAGGTGAATTTGCCTCAAGGATTGATGTCGAGCATTGGAGGCAATGTTCCTGAGAAGCCCCCATTGGCCACGCCTATCACCGTGCCAACCTTTGATCAGGTGTTGTTCGCAAACAGACTTGCACTCAGCGGTTGGAGCGAGCTCATGGAGTGCACATGTACGCGATGTCCTCATTTGGGGTTTCTATATGTGTCGATAATCTCAAAAGTTCTATTCTGGTATCGCGTCGTTGCGGCTAGAATGTGTCCATTACCAGACTGCGAGCTGGACGATAATCACACTAATGCACCATCTCAACAAAGGAACACACTTGATGTGCCGCCGGAATTCAAGATTCGTCTGACAGCAATACAAATCGGTATATTAGAGCTTGATCAAGAAGATCAGGCAAATTTGAGGCGCGTCATGCTATTACGCGAGTTACGCAGAGTGGACAAGGCAGTTGCTGAGATGGCAAACATGAAGCATGTTACGGATAATGATCCTGCCACATATCATGCTGCACAATGGCTGCAACTTGGGGTTTCCAGAGTGAGAGATCAGCTTCAGGAAGTGATTCAACACGTTGAGCAGGATAGTCAGGAGTAGCTCGGCAACTGCCACCTCGAGAAACACTAGTCAGGTTCAAGTCATAAATTGACCATTGATGGAGCATATGAGTGGAAGGACCTACCCATATGAGGTGCATCAGAAGTAGCGGATCTTGAAAAGCCTCGGGTGACGAGCCGGGCGGCAAATTGTGAGACAAATATATGCTACGACGAGCTCGGGGAGCGTCGGGAGCACCGGGAACCTCAACATCCCCCGTCTCCCTGGACAGAGCCACGTTATCAAGAGGGACAGGATTGAATATGATTGCTTTGGTCGACAAATGGAGAGATAGATAGCCATGCGTTATAAATATCAAGGTCGATGAACTGAATTGATGCATATACCCCGTGCTAATATCAGATAAATCAATATAAAATAATCTCGTCCTTCACTCCGCCCTCCTCCTTCCATTTTTCAAGTGCATTTTTGACAAGATCTGCTGCTACCTTAGCATACCCCGGACCAGGTGGCCCTGTAGGCGCCTTTGCTGGGTCACCAACAATCCAAGCCACACGCTCGTTCGAACTATCGCTGAACGACTCCTTAACCTCTTTAATCTGCTCCAGGGAGAAGGCACGGCCAAAGATCACTGCGCGCGGTGGCTGGCTGTAGTTGTGTGTGCCAACATCATTCTCGTTCGATGATTGAGGCTCTCGCCCCGCGAGCACTTGTTTTAATTCGCTTTTGGCGTCGTCAAATGTACCTTCTTGGAGGAAGTATATGACTATCCATTAGATCAGCGTGCGCCCTGCAAGGTGTATGATATTCCCTTTGAGAGAAACAGGTCTTCAAGGCTTTTAACAAGACCAACCCTCATATTCTGGAAGCAGTAGCTCGGCAACTTGGCCTCCAATCGTGGTGGTTCTGCCACAGAGTACCACGGGGACGGGTGAGGAGAGCGAAGACATGACTTTTTTGAAGTATGACGTAAATGGAGGGCGATTCCTCGCAAAGTCGGTTCGGAGGATCGTCTGACTTGAAAGTTGAGTTTGACAAAAGTACCAACATTCCTTTCTTATAGCTTCTACGGGATCGTGACCCACCTTACCGACGATCCTTTTGGATCATTTAGCTCGCCTCGTTGGATGGGTTTGATATTTGCGTCGACATGGGAGGCGCCGTAGATCAACGACCCTATTTGAGCCCACCCCACCCCGACGGTTAGCGACGACTCCGTGATACATGCCCGAAAGAAGGAATCGCCGGGGAAGGCTCGCGCTTCAGACTTTTCCACCCGGGAATTTTACCAAAAGCTTATTTCATGCTTGTCATGTCTTAACTCTTTATTTACAAAATTCTTCATGCTACCAGCATTTATTGTGGTTGCAATAGAGGTCAAGAGGTGTAGTCCATAGGGTGTATAATACAACCGTGAACATCAGCAAATTCGCGCAAGGAAAGAGCCGTGGTTTCACCAGCAAATCATCACTCTTGTCGACAATATACCACAAGGATACGGCTACCAAGCCCGGAAACCAGGACCAGAAGACGCGTGTGTTGACCCAGCATGGGCCCTTGAACATTTCCAAAAGCGACCAACCAGCGAGACAAACAGCCAGCACTGCAAGATTACGCGGGGAGAACCTCCAAATATGCTTGAAAGACTGAGCTGTGCCAAGGATGAATTTTCCATACAGTGAAACGAACTTCCACCATACTTCAAGTACATGCCGCAAGTCGACGGAGGTCTTGACAGGGAGGTGGACATACGGATTTAACTCGTTGCGGCATCGTCCCACGCTCATACCTGGCAGCATTGCGAGGGACGCCCAAGATGGAGCAAGGATGACTGCAATCAAGCTGACCCAGTCGATGATCTTTTCCTGCTCAAGGTCACCAACGCGCCCTGGATGATGATGGGACAAATGCGAGACGATTAATCCCGTGCCGACACTCAAGAGTCTTGCGCTTCCAAAAGTCATAATCAGCATCTTCGTGATCATAGACACGTCGTCACCATAGCGTTCCCAGGATAGCTTGTCGTGCTTGTAGGCCCATACGATCCAGGCTGTCATCGCGCAGACAACGGCGACAATTGCGCCCGCAATTGATGCGTTTGTCCGATTCACCTTTGAGAGTAATCGAGTCGCGAAGTCTCTATTTCGCGGAGTCCCCAACCATTCGTCTAGTGTAGTTTGTCGCGGTGATGGCGCTCTCCTGGCTCTCTGATGTGCATCGCTGTCGGCTTCGGGACGGTTCAAGGAATCGATCCCGCTGGTCTGTGCAGTTGATGGCTCTGTTGCAGACGACGCCATACTTCTTGCAAGGCGTGGAAGCAACGGGAATTGTGCACTTGGACGAAAGAACTGGAATGTGAGTTTGCTGATGTTTACAGCAGCTCTCTTGAGTCGTTTGCAAGATTGAAGTGCCCCAGTTGACATACGTACATGCACAGTGACGTGTCGGCCTGAGAGAGTGTTGGACAAGGAATAGAATGGCGTCAGAGCGGCCTATTTTGTGCCCGTCCCAATGCCTTAGTGCGGCTGAGGCTCAGAGGGGGCTGCAACGGTCCGGTATGGTCTTCTAAGTTGCTTGTCAACATGACGCCGTCTCCTTGTTTCCTTATTGTAAACAAATAATTCTTCATGGTTCTATTGCAGGCATGCCCCAATCTTCACGCGTGCATCCGGTGTCCCGAAGTTGATATGGAATAAGCTGCGGACTAAAATGAAATGCCCGAATGCTTCAAGTACAGTAAGTCGAGGATAGAAAGATATCTACCTCTTCATTTGGAGTACAGAACGCAAAATTGCGGGAGAAGAATCACAAACCGCTCAATGCAAGACGTTGTATACTCCTGGACTATAGAACATCTATGTCCGTAGGAAAGTCTGTTGTTCAAGGAGGTTGAGGCTTAGAATATGCACTGTCCAGCATGGTAGTATTACTCTCCCTAAAATTGCCTGCTAAATGACGGTTATTCCCAGGTGCCACTCTCTACCCTCCGCGTTTACTCGATAGTAAGCCTTGGGATATATATCGTAACACCGTGTCTCAACAATTAGTGAGACTAAGTAGACATTGATGATATTTCAATCTTGGCTCTTGGAAACAAGTATTAAATTCTGGCCATATTGAGAGCGGCCGCCTCAGGGCTGACACTGCGACGTCGGACCCCGCTAACAAGGGCTGATTACATGCTATGTTCTAATCATCTCGGAGGAGACAGATAAGAGCTTTGATACGGCATCACAAGCATCAATGTCAAGAACAGCCGTCGTAAAGGTCTCAAAGATTTACCGCTAGGGCTTCACAAGGTGAAGAATCAATATCATGGATCCTTATCTTCTCTGGATCGGAGGCTCGGGACGACCAGGCAGGGCGGAACAGTGAGCCCCTGCCCCGCATTCAAATTGGAGCCACACAACTGACCGCATAAGGATTCCGGTTGAAGATCCATCCAGAGGCGAGATATTTGCACAGTAAGGATGCCGGCGGTCTATCTCGACTGTATGTGCGGCTGTGAATCAGAGAGCTAATTCATACGTGAGTAGTTGTCACGCGGCTTCCGCTGAGGATGTCGAGGATGCAGTCTGGCTCGCTCACACCACTTTCAAGGCGGGGATATGGTCCAAGGCGCCGAGACACACGCGGGCCGACGTCCTTGACAAGGCCGCTGCGCTTCTGACCGAACGACTGCCGACGCTCATCAAGCTGGAAGTGCGGCAAACAGGACGCGCTATCAGAGAGATGAACGCCCAGGTGCCGTCGCTTGTGAAGTGGTTCAAGTACTATGCGGCGTTACTCAGGACAGAAGAACGCTCAGTGCTGCCGACAGTAGGAAAGCTTCACAATTGGGTCGACCGCGTGCCTCTTGGGGTAGTCGTGCAGATCACGCCGTTCAATCACCCGCTTCTGATTGCTGTCAAGAAGATTGCCCCTGCTTTGGCTGCCGGCAACAGTGTTATTGTCAAGCCAAGTGAGCTCACGCCGCTGACTACACTGGTCCTAGCCCAAATTTTGAAGGAAGCAGGCGTGCCTGATGGTGCCTTCAATGTTCTACCCGGATATGGTGCGATTACAGGCAAAGCACTCGTTGAGCATCCTCTTGTCAGGAAGGTCGACGTCACTGGCGGTACCGTTGCTGGTCGGGCAATAGGCGCCATCGCCGGCAAGAATCTTGCCCGGTTCACCGCCGAGCTGGGAGGCAAGGCGCCTCTCGTGGTGTTTGAACAGGCTGACATCGACGTCGCTGTCAATGGCATCGTATTCGGCTCGTTCATAGCAAGTGGGCAGACATGTGTTGCAGCAACCCGAATCATAGTCGAAAACAGGGTAATGCCTGCCCTCCTTGAGAAACTACGCGCAAAAGTCGATTCCATAGCTCGCCGGATGGGCTCACCGACGAATCCAGAATCTATGATGGGCCCGTTGATCTCGGCAGCGCAGCTAGGCAATGTCGAGACACTGGTCAACGATGCAGTGAGCAGTGGCAAAGCTACTGCGGTGATTGGAGGCGGTCGAATGATCGGACAGAGTCAGCTCGACGGCGTAGACTTCTCAAAAGGCTATTTCTTTCCGCCCACCATCCTCACATCGACCAGCGGGAGTAGTGTCCTCGAGACTCGCATATGGCGTGAGGAGGCATTTGGACCCGTGATTGTGGTCGTTGGGTTCGATACCGAGGAGCAAGCGATCAACCTCGCAAATGACAGCGAATTTGGTCTAGGTGCGGCTGTATGGACTAAAGATCTTGCGCAGGCGTTTCGCGTCTCGGAACAGATCGATGCCGGTATTGTCTGGGTGAATACTCACCATCGAAATGACCCAAGCAGCCCATGGGGCGGAGGCAAGAGTTCAAGCGGTGTCGGCAGTGAGAATGGCATTGATGCATATCACGAGTACACTACCATGAAGAGCACAATCATCAACTACGCGACGAGTGAGGAGGCCTTGGCCACTGACGACTGGTTTCGTGAAGGAGCTGGGGATGTGCGGTACGGGTAAACGTCATGAGGGTCACCGTATGACTGCATGATACTCTTACTCGTTGAGGGCGATGGTATCGAGAATTCAAATCATCATGTTCAAAAATGGGCAGACAAATAGTCAGATATCAAAGCAGGCTGCATCATTTGAGCGGTCATCTTATACATGCCGTGTTTATTTTGTCTAGGACGAATGTATCTCTTAGATTTAGATTCATTAACTTCGTGTCCGTAACATGTATGCTGATATTCCCTCTCGTGTTTACGACGCCTATGAACGACATGCAGAGGGCTTCGAGGCGTCAACTTTGTCTCTGCCCTGAGCCTTCTGAGTGCTGCACGTGTAGTATTTGGTGGTGTCTACAAAAGATGGCAGTGCAAACGAAAAGAGCACAGCGGGTACACTGCTACATGCGGTTTGGCCAGTGGAGATTCATGTCCAACAATGCCGAACTTGACCAATGCTAGGACTTGGAAGCAGTGCGCCAAGGCGCTGGCAAATCTTAGGCCGGGGCGTTTTCATCGGCTCTCTTGTAATTCCACCTCCTTTTTCTTGCTGATCTCCGTGAAAAGGCGGCAATTAGGCCCTGAAACTTTCAACTAACTGGGAACTAAGACCATGTGGCAGTGCGTTGCAACATGATAGAGCAGATGCAGAGCCCGCTGGCATGTCGCTGGCCCCGGAATTCCCGACCAAAGTAGACATATTTTCTTTCAATTCTTTGCTTATAGACAGGTGAGCGTGCGTGTTGCCGCGATACTGTGAAGTATCGATCATGTTCACACATTGTATTAGGCGCATGCGCAGAGCGCGCTGTTTCCCAGAACATTGCTTCGCAGACTTTAAATAGCAGCTGCCCGGAAGGCGTCACTGACCTGCAGTTATGCATTTGTACTGATAACTTCATTGCCGTCTCGTCTAGGATGTCGGCTTCGGTCAGTGCAACATGTGGTTCTACGGCATCCGACGATCAAGCTTCGGCCTCAACCGTCCTGAGCGCGTACTGCAATCAAGCCTCAGTTGTGACATCTCCTACGCCAGCACATCTTGTCTCGTCATATATCAATGAGATAACAGCAATCAGTGACCTAGCGCCCAAGCGCGTCGAGTGCTCTGGTTCAAGCGGTGAAGTACAACGTCAGTCTGCAAGTCAACAATGCATCCCGGATAGGGCTAACTTTCATGAAGACGTACCTCAATTGCCCACCTGATCCAACAGCTTTAGCCCCTTGTGTCTGTGAAAAAGACCAAAACTCTTTACGCGTCAGTAGAAGCATCAACAGAAAAGTAGGCTATGTCTGCTCTACAACCACCGCAGACTTGAAGTCTGCCAACGCGCTATTTGCGGCATACTGTGCAATGAACTCGGGGACGACTTCCTTTCCGATCGCCTCCAACCCGCCCAGCGACATGACATACTATGTCACCGACTTACCTCAGTACTCTTCGTTGCAAAGCTGTGCACAAAGCTCCTGTGCCTGCATCAAGCCTAGCGTGTCGAGATACGTGTCGAGCTTCTTGACCTCCAACGTTAGGCTCTGGTGCACAACGGATTACATGAATAACATGGCATCTGCTTCGTCGGTGATAGACTTCTATTGCAGTGCGGCAAGGGCCGAGGTGACCGCTGCTGGGATCGCAGTTCATGCATTGGGGACATCTTCAACCGCAACATCTGGCGCGTCGATTCGTATACCAACGACCATGAGCAGGCCTAATAAGCCACAAGGCTCGGGTGGTCCTAGCAAAGGGGCAATTGCTGGTGCAATTGTAGGCGCTGTGGTTGGCCTGCTCATTGCTTGTTGTCTAGTAATCTACTTCATGTGGCGCCGTGGACGGATGTTGCAGAAACAACAGGAAATTGCTCTCCGTCCTCAAAATAGAGGAGATATTAATCGCTCGGCCGTGCAGTCGGCGCGTAACGACAGCGAGAATATTGGACGACATGACACGATCTCCCCTGCTCCTGCTGCCGAAAGCTCTTCGGTTGCTCCACCCCCGTACGAGCCAGGAGCGTACGGGGACATATATAGGAGTAAGAACCAGTAGAGAAAGCTATGTTGCGACCAGTGATGGATAGGTTCACTACTGGATGTCTATTCATAGACCTACTATGCTTTTTGAAGACACCCAATAATACCATCATCGCCATCTATATTATATGCATTTGAAAGCTTTGAACTTCTTCCCTGTTGCGCCAAGATTGTTCTTTCCAGGATAGAGCATGATAAGAACTCTGTTTCCTTCACAATTTGCATCACTATTCCGTCATCAAAAATTGTTTGCATTAAGGCGACAAGTGTGAGTAGACTTACTCGAAGAACGTACAGTTGCCAGAGTTGGATCCTGCTGAGCCGACATTTTGCTTGCTGAATCTTTGTTATTTGATCCGCAACACTGATGTCAGGATTCCGACTCACAATTTTGATGTCAATGTTTTACAGTCTCCATTATTTCAAGACCAGTTCTCCGTCACTCCATCCCAGTTCTGGCCAGTGGTTAGATACATTGTCCCCGACGCGGGACCTCGAGTGGGAACAGTAACTGGTAGTGTTGTTGATGTAGCGGTCACCGCGCTGTTGAAGCCATCATATACAGCAATGGTTCGAGAGTCAAGACGCGGATCTCGATTCCACCAAGGTATCGGTCGAGACGGACTGCCGATTTTCGGTGTTGGGGCAACGGTCGGACACGCTGGCTTGTTGAGTGGCAGTCCCGGCTTATCGAACAGGAGATTGCATCCCGGCAGGGCAGGCAAGGCACGTTGAATTCCGACCTCTTCCTGTGCGATCGATACACTGGTGTCAACATTGCAGGAGTTCATTGCCGCCTCGTCGGCGTATTTGACAAGTGCCTTGCACTGGAGCTCCCCCGGAAAGAAAGGCAATATTCCCGTTCCGCCCCAACAGGTTGGGTCGCTCATTGCTTCCTTGAGAGCGGCTCCCTTGTTTTTCCAACCGAAGAAGTAATCCCCATGGACACCTATAGCGATCGAGGTCAATGATTGTTCATCAAGTGGGTAAGCTCTGTGAACTTACCGTAGCCACTCGCACTGCCGGAGCTCAGGGAGATATCCTGTCATTTGTATTCTTCGGCACGGAACTCAAACTCGAGCACAATTTGAGGTAGCTGCTTCGGATGACTAGGAGGACACCTCCAGCCGGTACCTGTCGCATAGGATACGTGATCGCGATGGTTAGGTGTGTCGACGTCTACACCATTCCAGCAGTCTGTGCAGAGACCCACAGGTTAACAAGGACACTTTTGTAGGGTAAGATAGTAAACCGCAAATATCTCACTTGGGAACACTAGAGCCATCTTGAAGGCGGTGCAGTCTTGCTCGGGTAGATGATCGAAGCCGTACGTAAAATTCCAGGTCCCAGTAACATCGCCTTTTGGAATGTAGTTGCTGCATTGGTAGCTAGTCCAGTCTGTATTGGGGAACTGGCGCGTAGCTGAAGCATTGCCCACAATCATGCGGAAATCTTGAGGGAAAGGTGTCATGGGAGTATTGTTGAAAGACTAAGAGCACAGTAGAATACGGTTAAAATCTCAGGCGCCATCGTTTTCCAAGCTGGACAAGAAGAGGAAGCTCACCCTAAGATAGTAGATCGCTCACGTCGTAACTGGTAAGGCAGACCAAGTATTGTTGGGGTTTCTGCCAAATGGAGGAGAGACCCAATATGAGCTCATATCCTGTTGTGTCTCTAGAGTAGAGCATTTCGAACTCTCAAAAAGGCTCGAACTTAATTTAGGTCCAAAGTTGCTGCCCCCAGTTACCATGTGAGCATGACCGCTCACAAGGCCCTGGCTCACGATGGGATCAAGTCGAGTGAGTGTGAGCATGTGCCCATGAATTTGAAATGCACTTGCTACATTAATCAAAAGTGGGGCTAGTTGCAGCACAAGAGAAAGGAAAGTCATCACAGACAAATGGCAAATGTTGGTGGTGAGAATATGCAGGCTTTGAAGAGTGAGCACAACCGAAGAAGAGTGGCATCTGTGACCTCTCAAGAGTTATTATTTTACCTTTGAAGGAAATTTTACTGTCTTTATAATGAAGCAAAAGATTTGATCATAAAAACTTTGGCACAATGTCAGCATCAAAGGTGGAAATTGGGCGGCCGCCTTGGCTACCCCTGTAACAACTCAGGAGTAAGCCTAACCCAGCTCAACCTTTACGAACACTATCGCTACTCAAGTCCCTAGTATAATGCTCAACTCATTTCTTTATGATGTGAACCAATCACCATGAGGAGTTCCGTTGCTATTCCTCTGTCATTTGGATCTTTGCATGGAAGCCTATGTTCCTGTTTGTGTATAAGGGGTACGATAAAGTAAGACATGTGTCTTTCTGATCTACATCGGTGCAAAGTCCAAAATGATAGCAAGTGCAGTAATCTACTATGTTTTAACAATAACCATGGATTTTTTTGGCATGTGCTCTTATATCGAGCTTGTGGGTTGTGATAGTGAGGCAAGTTCTGCTCGAAGGTCTTTTGTAAAAGCCCACACTGACACAGACACAATAGATAAACACTCATATCTGATGATATCCCGGAGTCTGTGCAAAATTTTGGGTTCTAAAATGACTGTTCAATTACTTCTCTGATGCATGAAAGAAGGTATCTCAAGGAGCAGAGATAAAATCCCATGATTGTGCCTTTATGGCTTTGTAAATTTTCCCCATGAAAGCTCGACACTATCACATTCAAGGCACTGTGAAGACTTTATGTGAACGAGCTATCTTTTCATCCTGTTATGCACAGACCGGGCGGTTCACTTGCCCATCCTTGTACAATGTGCCGGAAGAGGCAAATCACATTGAAATCGCCAGAACCCAAAGTTTTCATCTTTTTGTAAAACTCTGCCTATCTGCAATCATTTAAATCTCCCACTCACTCTCTCCTCCCACAGAATACCACCCAATAGCGAACGTTGACGCTAGCCCTGGTTCCCACCATGGATCTACCTTCTGTTGATGAGATCTCATCCGAGGAGAATCTGCTCGTGATGGG